ACTCTCCTGACCTTAACCCCATAGAAAATCTATAGGGTATTGTGAAGAAGAAGATGCAATACACCAGACCCAACAATTCAGAAGAGCTAAAAGCCACTATTAGAGCAACCTGGGCTATCATAACACCTGAGCAGTGCCACAGACTGATCGACTCCATGCCACGCCGCATTGCTGCAGTAATACAGGCCAAAGGAGGCCCAACTAAATACTGAGTGCTGTACATGCTCATACTTTTCATGTTCATACTTTTCAGTTGGCCAACATTTCTATAAATCCTTTGTTTTTATTGGTCTTCAGTAATATTCTAATTTTCTGATATGATGAATTTGAGATTTTCATTTGTTGTCATTTGTAATCATCAAAATTAAACAAAATAAACATCTGAAATATATGAGTTTGTATGTAATGTATGAATATAATATACAAGTTTCACTTTTTAAATGGAATTACTGAAATCAATCTACTTTTTCATGATATTCTAATTTTATGACCAGCACCTGTATTTGATTTTCTAGTGTGATGCAGACACTAAATATGCTAAGGGTTGAAGCCCTTGAAAGACACCTCCCTTTGCTTAATAAAAGACTCCAGTCATTTTGTTTGGTGATATGCTCACATCTTATGAACAAATGCATTATGTAAATTTTAAATGCATTATTTTAGGAAGACACATTTATAAAGGAATAAAGTAAAAGATTAAATAGCCTTTTTTTTAAGTAGCGTACTTAAGATATGTTTCTGTTGAATACGAATCTCAGATTTCCGACATGTGTCCCCCCCAATAGTAAACATATTCCTACGCCCTTGATTTAGACTATATTTGTTCCATAGTTTACATGCAAAAAAAACTTTTATACGATTTTTTTTTTACATAATAAAGTGGAAGACATTAATTTTTTTTTCACAAATACCATTTCCTGAATTATCATCCCCCTTTCTCTATACTGTTACTTTACTGCAACTATCTTGGGTTTTAAATCCCAACTCTGGCTTTTTCTGCATGGTTAGCATGTCCTTCCCATGCATGCAAAAAATGGGTTCTCTTTGGGTATCCCAGGTTTCCCCCACATTCCAGAAACATTGTTTTTTAGCTTCTCTTAGGTGCGTTTGTCTCCCTGCGATGTTTGGCAAAGCCTGCTTGATGTGGGCATCAGCTCAATTCACCACCTATGACTGATACATACTTTTAAAGTCACACTATAACATTAGATATTATAACCTTAAAGGGCTAGTGGAGAATCTTTGCTAATTGAAAAGACCCGCCCTCTCCACTTTAAAAAATACATGCACAACCCTGTACCTGCTCCCGAGAGGGAACACCTAGTAATCGTAGGCGAAAGCATGCATGAGCACATTTCTCCTTGTGCAGGCTCTGTTTAAAAGTTGCATCGCTCATAAAAGCTTACTTTACAAAAAAAGATTTGCAATTTTTCCACTATGTCAGACTCACCAGGGGTAAGGGAAAATGGGGACGAACATGTAGGACAGCCTTACCACTTATTTAATTCTCCACTATACCTTTAACCAAAAAAGAAAAAAAAAAAAAAGAAAAAAATCATTGCAGCTTAAAGCTACAGTGTGTAATAATTACAGGGATATAAAGTCAGAAATGTAATATATTATACATAACTATGTTATTTATCATCATCTACGAGCTCAGCCTCTTAACCTTAATATTTGTGTTGCCTTAGAATTCGTTATTTATAATTACATAGGAGCGGGTCTCGCAGCCATGGAGGCAGACATCTTTGCGCTACGGCAGCGCAGAGCCAACAAACTAGCGATTGCGAGATCGCCCATTACGCTCGAAAGTAACTACGGCAAGTTGAGAGATTGAGAGATGAACTGAGACGGTACTGAACAATAGATGGCAGTATTAAAATTATCTATGTAAACAAACCTCATCACTTGAGAAGGTAGGTGATGCGGACGTCGTGGAAGACATTTTGTCCCGTAACGCTCGCCGTACTGTTGGGGGGGAGAAGCGGTGGGGGGGAGATGTTCATGTTGCTGCGGTCTGCAGTCTGACCGCTAGATGTCGCTGAAAATTACACACTGTAGCTTTAAGGTATAAAAGGGTGGAAACTTCAGAGATCGTTTTTCAGTTTGTGAATTCCAAGCTGGCAGTCCTTTGAAAACAGATGGCTGTCAGAAAAGAAGGATCGGAGTAACCTAAGGTTACACTTTCACTTATCTGATCCTTATTACCTTCTAACCTCTACCTTCTATTACCGTTATAGATAATCAGTTATAGATATGAGTGATTATTGTGTTTCCAGCTCCACTGAGCCATGAGGGTTTGTCCACGGTGACAGATGACCCCAGACATGCAGTGTCCTCTGTAAGGTGGGGAGGATTATTCAGACTCAGAGCTCTAGGTCACTTGTCTAATCCCATTACCTGCACGCAGCTTCGACTAATGGGATTGCTAGTAGGGTCAGGGTTCTGACCTGATTAGCCTTGACATTCAGTGCTAAACATTGAAAATAGTTGTTGAATAAAACTGCATGGGCGTTTTTATGAAGTTAAAGAGACAACTAAAAATTAACTTGATATTTTAAAGAATAAAGGTTAGGGATCTGAAGGGTTTACATGCGGATAATCGATGGAGTGGGACAGGAATGTAGAATAAACAAGGAGTTTATAGACAGAGACAAGCTGTTTGGCCATCTGTTGGAATCAAAGGTCTTCAGGGGAAAAGGCTGAGAAAATAATGGGGAAAGCTGAAAGTGGTTTAATCAGAAAACTCTGAGGAAAACTTTTATATTTAAATAAAAAATATATATATTAAATTAAAAAAATTATAAATAGATACACCTTCTTGCACATTGAATCAACTTTGGAGACCAAATAATCCGCTCTAGATCAACATATGTTAAAATGGTTTGTTTACAGGTACAATGTAATTTACATGTGAACTTCTCTATCCGTTAAGTACATGTTTAGTACATGTTCAGTACTAGCTCTAATGCAAGAGCAGATTGTACTTCTTATGGAAGCTCAGGTTCTTCAGCGTTTGCAGCAAGCTTCTGCATATCCAAGTCCATGATGCCATCATTAGCTCAGGAAGCAGCATCAGAGAACTTCTCTAGATCTCCTGGGGATATTTTTTTACCACATGCGATTTTTCATAAATTAAAAAACAGGGACACCTTTGAGCAACTGTGGTACAACAACATTCCTTCATTCAGAGGCTTCTCCAGCTCTGCTGTAAGACAGACCACTACAGAACACACTTCCTACCATCAGCATAGACAAAAGGTCACTGAAGAAATCCCTACAATATGAGTCACAACATTTAATTTCCTTAAGGTTAAAAAACTGAACTGAAATAACCACTGATTTTAGTCTAATTCCATTTGGGTATTTCATCTCTTAAAAAATAAGACAGATCATCATATTTTATCTCACCACAATAATTCTGTCAAATTCCCTTCAGATACATATTGAGGTAAATAGCCATTTAATTACAATAGATTAGAGATGATAGAAAACTGATAATAGTAAGGCCTGATAATAGTAAGGACAGATGATTGGGCCAATGGATGGATAGAATAAAGGAGCCTGACAGATGGAACCAAATTTTAGATAATGTAATAGGGAACAATTTCAGCAAAAACTGATAAAAAGCTATCTTTCAATTTACTTTGTTTTTTTCCACCTCTTACTCAACCGAACATTTCTGTACAGAGTTACACCCTTCACTTTGTTTTTGTTTTTCCAGAGCAGGAATTATTTTTTAAAGGAAAAAAAAGAAGCCACCAGATAAAGGCTTATCTGTAGAGGAGGGAACATGTTGGCCTGGATGAGACTCCAGTAGAAACTGCAGCAAAAAAAAGCCTCTCTTTCAAAATCTACTTTATCAAAAGAATACACAGTGATATGCATGTATAAAACATAGAAAACATCACAAGCTTATAAACACTAACAAAATATAATTTCTTATTGACTTGCTCTTGAAAGTAGCGTGTACAAAGTTTGAGTCCTGTTCTGTTCGTCTTGCACTTATTTTCCACGGCATGTTCAGTCCTCTTCAGCCCACAACTTGCATCACAAACAGAGTTACCAAATGTCGCAGGCAGTCGACAAAACACTCAACACCTTTTGTAAAACGAAAAGGTCCAGGTTACACCGAACGTGTCTCTTTGCACATTTTCATTAAGGCAGATCACACATATTAGTCACTCTAATGGAAGTTTTGTTCACTGAAGGTTATGGAGCTGGGCGGCAAACTGCTTATTTAAACAGCAACAATGTCAAGACGGCTGCAAGCAGCAGGCCTCATTAACCTGCTCACAGGATCATTTGTCAGGTAACAAACAGGGGAGTGCATCCTGTCCTTTTAAGCATGATTATTACTATTTTGCAGATGTTGCTTCAAATGACCCTTAAAAAACCACACTGGAGAAAAAATTGGATACATCTTGTTTTTTGCAGTGCCTTGCAAAAATAGTCAATATCCTTATTCACATCACAGCTACAAATTATAGTGTATTTTATCAGGATTTTATCTAATAAATCAACATAAGGTGGAACATAACTATGAAGAGAAAGATAATGTGGTGTTCTATTTTGTTCTCAAATAAAAAGCAAACCCAGTACACCTGCTGTAAGTAAAACCCAATAAAACAAATTAGATTTCCATCCTCTAATGGTAGATGGAGTCCATCTGTGCATAATTTAATCTGACTACAAAGCGACTGTTCCTTAAAAGCCTCAGAGGTTGGTCATAGACAGACATTAGTGAACAAGCAGCATGAGGAAGAAGACTGCAGACAGATTAAGGTAGAGTTGTGAAGTTTAAAGCAGATTTAGCTTCTAAATCCATCATATAAGCCTTGAACATCATACAGAGCTCTGTTTAATCAATTATTAACATCAGTAGGGAATGATGACGGTGTGGAGATGCTGTTCTTTAGCCAGGACAAAATAAACTGGTTATGCTCTGTCTCCAGTTGGACATAATATCAGAATTTGAAAGAAAATGTTTTTTAGAAGCCAGAAGACTTCAGACTGGTCTGTGCATTCACCTCCAAAGACAACAACCCTAAAGATAAACAAAGAGATAAAATGGAGCGGTTTAGATAAAAAAAAAAGAACTATGTAAACAGCAAAGACTAAATCAAGGATTAGATCAAACTGTATCTTAAAAAATTATTTGGATACTTTAAAATTAATGTTTCAAATATTCTTCATCCAGTCTGATTGAAAAGAAAATGTTTTTCTGTCTCCAAATGTTCAAGGCTGGTGGATCCACACCCTCTAGTGGACATTCTTGAATACATATAACATATACATATAACAGCAGTATCAAATCCACATATCCAAAACTCCTTGTACCAAATATTGCAGCAAAAATATTGAAACCATCTTTTCAATGCATAGTTATGCTCTACTTTCTGTTTGTCTCATAAATTTGACTACTTCCATCTTAATTTGATTGGGTGTGAATACTTTAACAAGGCACCAAAGGTTAATTTCTATGACGTTGAATTGTTCTCTTCCCGATGGCTGTATTTTAGGCCGTTTCTTTGCTCCTGCTGTGAAGATGGGAGTGCCTATGGTGATGTTAGCAGTGCTCTTGCATTTAGAAAGCAGCGGGCAAAGAGAGGAGTCAGGCTGCTTTAAAGTTAGAAACAAATTGAAGTCTCTTTAAATTAAAATGTATAAGTTGTAGATTTATTTTTCATTTACTTATATATTTATTTAATCTCTTCAGCTCACAGGTCTGTGTCCCACTGCAAGGCTTCAAGCTTGGTCCTTTTTTTTCCCCGACTCCTTTCTTCCTCACTTGTGCATCGTTTGTGCTCTTTTGTTCTTTCATCCTTCCAATCAGGAGTGTTGTCAGGATAATGGACATCTTTTTTTTTAATACACCAGTCCATCAATCAGCTCTTTATATTAAAAAGGACATCATCAATCTCCAACATTTTCTCCCTTCTTTAGGCCAGAGCTCCCCCGCATGTTATTTGCATACAAACTGGTCCACGAGCGTCGTGCAACGCTTGCATTTGACGTAGCAGCACCAGTGGAATTTGCAGTGGCAGCGCTCGTGCTTGTAGGTCTTGAACTGGTCGTACCCTCTGCCGCAGCACATCAGCTCGCAGCCATCCATGCCCTCTGAGGTTTTGTTGCAGTAACGCCCATGCGTTCCTAGCGAGCCCGTGGTCTCGTTTCGGAGGCAGTAGTCGGGGCTTGTGTCAATGTAGACCATGTCCTCAGGTGTTGGGTTGTTGAAGCGCTTGTCTTTGAGCTCTAGCTTTCCCTGGCGGGACAAAATGGAAGAAGTTTGAGAAAGAAACTTGGACAAGTCTGTTTCAGGAAAACTTACATTGGTCCAGATTTTAAATAAAATATCTATTGTTCATTAATTTTTGGGTATTGTTTCTCAGTTCAGAAACAACCTGTCAGAAGTTGAAACTTTCAAGGACTTAGACATCCAGTTATTTAAAAGGAGATGTATGTTTCACACATATTTCTATACATTAATCTTTATGTAAATGTAGGACCCATCATGAATTATTGTATTATTTCACATAATTAATTTCTACATCAGAAGAATAAAGCTTAACGAATGAGCTGATTATTCACCTCAGTGCCATAAAGCATGGGATCAGTTGGAATTTAACCACAGCCTCTTATACAAAAACTATCTAATAAAAAAGTTAGCGTATATAAACGGTACAATCTTAAGGTATTTTTGGTAACTACATATTGCACAGTTTACCTTGCGTCCGATCTGCATGGCTGCAGCACTGTCGTATTTCTCTTTTAGAAATTCTCCGACTCGTCTGAAATCTGCCAGCTGAAGCCAACAGGTTTTCAAACTGCAGGAACCGGAGACTCCATGACACTTACAGGCAACATGGGCTTGGTTGTAGACCGCCTGATGAAAGACAGATATACATAAACATTAAAACTAAAACCTGTATAATATGCTGATGAAGGTTCTCAGTCATCCAGGTCAAAGTCATTCCGTAAAAATTCAAAAAATATCCACTGGACTTGGTTTTCAAGATTTGAAGACGTTTCGCCACCTCTCCAAGAAGCTTTCTCAATTCAAATGTCTGGATCCGCAGTGAGTTTGAGTCTTATATAGACAACGCCTTGTATCGCTTGGAAACAAGCAATGGTAACCGATGAATGGGTCGTTAGTTCCATCGTTAGCCTGTAATATCTGAACCTGTCTATGATTCTAGGGGTTGGTCGTTAAAGGGGGGATTGCCATTAAGGGGGGGGATTGTCTCCTGTAATACCTGAAACCTGTCTATGACTTGTTCCTCTGTGATGGGGTGGGGGGTTTGGTGATATCTGGAAGGGATCATGTCTATGATTGAATTGTATGTTTTTGGAAGCTGGAATCTGAGTCCACCACCTCTGTTTAAAGTTGGTTTTTCTCTCTTAACATAGATGGCTTCCTTCACGCCCCTCTCAAACCACCTATTTTCTTTATCCAGAATATGGACATTCTGGTCCTCAAAAGAATGTCCTTTGTCCACAAGGTGTAGGTGTACTGCGGAGTCTTGTCCAGAGGCGGCCGCTCTTCTGTGTTGGGCCATGCGTCTGTGGAGAGGTTGTTTTGTTTCGCCAATATAAAGATCAGAGCATTCCTCGCTGCACTGAACAGCATATACCATTCCGCTCATATTCGGTCTGGGGGTTTTATCTTTAGGATGCACTAGCCTCTGTTTAAGGGTTTGGTTTGGCTTGAAATGTACTGGGATCTTGTGTTTGGAGAAAATCCTCTTGAGCTTTTCAGACACTCCAGCAACATAAGGGATTGTGATGTTTTTGCGTTTAATTTTCCCATCGCTGTCTTCTGTTGCGTGTCTTTTGGATTTCCTTGCTGATTTGATAAAAGCCCAGTTTGGATATCCACAGTTTCGGAGAGCATCTTTGATGTGTTTCTGTTCTTTTTGCTTCCCATCTGTTTTAGTAGGGACATGTTCTGCCCGGTGTTGTAAGGTCCTGATGACTGAGAGTTTGTGTTCCAGTGGGTGGTGTGAGTCAAAAAGAAGATACTGGTCTGTGTGAGTAGGTTTCCTATACACTTCAATGTTTAGGCTTCCATCCCCTTCCATGCTCACCAGACAGTCCAGAAAGGGTAGTTTGTTGTCCTTGGCATCCTCTCTGGTGAATTTGATGTTACGGTCAACAGAGTTGATGTGTTTGGTGAAAGCTTCCACTTCCTCTAGCTGGATTTTGACGAAAGTGTCATCCACGTATCTAAACCAGTGGCTTGGTGGTATTCCATTGAAAGTGTCTAAAGCTCTCTTTTCCATTTCTTCCATGTAAAGGTTGGCTACAATTGGTGATACTGGAGATCCCATTGCGCAGCCATGCTTCTGTCTGTAAAAATTACCTCTGAATTTGAAATAGGTTGTGGAAAGACAAAGGCCCAGTAGTGTGCAGATCTGGTCCGGAGTGAAATTAGTCCTGTTGTTTAAATCACTATCTTGTTCAAGACGTGTCCTGACTGTTTCCACTGCCTCTGTTATAGGTATGCATGTGAAAAGTGAAGTAACATCAAACGATACCAGGGTTTCTCCTGGAGCCATTCTTAAATGTTTGGCTTTGTTGGCAAGGTCTTTGGAGTTTTCTATGTGATGTGGTGTGTTCCCCACCAAGGGGGCTAAGATATTAGTAAGCTGTTTAGCAATTCCACTCCGGACCAGATCTGCACACTACTGGGCCTTTGTCTTTCCACAACCTATTTCAAAATTCAGAGGTAATTTTTACAGACAGAAGCATGGCTGCGCAATGGGATCTCCAGTATCACCAATTGTAGCCAACCTTTACATGGAAGAAATGGAAAAGAGAGCTTTAGACACTTTCAATGGAATACCACCAAGCCACTGGTTTAGATACGTGGATGACACTTTCGTCAAAATCCAGCTAGAGGACGTGGAAGCTTTCACCAAACACATCAACTCTGTTGACCGTAACATCAAATTCACCAGAGAGGATGCCAAGGACAACAAACTACCCTTTCTGGACTGTCTGGTGAGCATGGAAGGGGATGGAAGCCTAAACATTGAAGTGTATAGGAAACCTACTCACACAGAGCAGTATCTTCTTTTTGACTCACACCACCCACTGGAACACAAACTCTCAGTCATCAGGACCTTACAACACCGGGCAGAACATGTCCCTACTAAAATAGATGGGAAGCAAAAAGAACAGAAACACATCAAAGATGCTCTCCGAAACTGTGGATATCCAAACTGGGCTTTTATCAAATCAGCAAGGAAATCCAAAAGACACGCAACAGAAGACAGCGATGGGAAAATTAAACGCAAAAACATCACAATCCCTTATGTTGCTGGAGTGTCTGAAAAGCTCAAGAGGATTTTCTCCAAACACAAGATCCCAGTACATTTCAAGCCAAACCAAACCCTTAAACAGAGGCTAGTGCATCCTAAAGATAAAACCCCCAGACCGAATATGAGCGGAGTGGTATATGCTGTTCAGTGCAGCGAGGAATGCTCTGATCTTTATATTGGCGAAACAAAACAACCTCTCCACAGACGCATGGCCCAACACAGAAGAGCGGCCGCCTCTGGACAAGACTCCGCAGTACACCTACACCTTGTGGACAAAGGACATTCTTTTGAGGACCAGAATGTCCATATTCTGGATAAAGAAAATAGGTGGTTTGAGAGGGGCGTGAAGGAAGCCATCTATGTTAAGAGAGAAAAACCAACTTTAAACAGAGGTGGTGGACTCAGATTCCAGCTTCCAAAAACATACAATTCAATCATAGACATGATCCCTTCCAGATATCACCAAACCCCCCACCCCATCACAGAGGAACAAGTCATAGACAGGTTTCAGGTATTACAGGAGACAATCCCCCCCCTTAATGGCAATCCCCCCTTTAACGACCGACCCCTAGAATCATAGACAGGTTCAGATATTACAGGCTAACGATGGAACTAACGACCCATTCATCGGTTACCATTGCTTGTTTCCAAGCGATACAAGGCGTTGTCTATATAAGACTCAAACTCACTGCGGATCCAGACATTTGAATTGAGAAAGCTTCCTGGAGAGGTGGCGAAACGTCTTCAAATCTTGAAAACCAAGTCCAGTGGATATTTTTTGAATTTTTACGGAATAACCTGTATAATAATGATAGTTATTATACAGGTTATTTAATAGCAGTCTGCTACCATCTAGTGGTTAAAATGACTAATTACAGGACTTCTACTATTCCACAGAATGTTCCTGACTGTACCACTGTCATAATTTGTGGTACATTTCTTCAAACAGCTCTGATGGATAAGCGATTGGCAACCATTACCATATCTTTTTATATAAATAAATAAATATATATATATATATATATATATATATATATATATATATATATATATAAATAAATAAATAAATAAATATATATATATATATATATATATATATATATATATATATATATATATATATATATATATATATATATATATATATATATATATATATATATATATATATATATATATATATTTATTTTTTTTAATTAAAATTATATTTATTCCAACCTGGAAAATTTTACTTTTCTATATTAGCCATGTTGCATGCAAAATCTTCAATGTATTTTATGGGATTTTATGTAATACTACATCAAGTTATTTAATTTAGTTTAAAAAAAAAAGCAAAAAAACAGCTTAAACATGGTGACAAATTTAATCCATATAGAGTGGTGTACTTTTGTTACCTTGTTTATTTATTAAAACTAAAATATTTTAACCATTTTATTTCCAAATACGAATCTGATTACATGACTTATGTCTAAATAAATCTTAATGCTCAACACCTCTGAGAAACTTTGGACAGCCTTCCTGTAGATCTTGAACAGACGATCCACACAACCAGTGTGTCAGTGTCAGGAAGCAGTGTCCTTTCTATAGTTTGTAAGAAATATCAAATTATCTAGATTTCTTTGAACAATAGATTTAGAGATGTATTTCCAGAAAGAAAAAGAAAAAAAAGAGCACCAAAAGCTGGAGATCTTCATCCCCATCAGGGTTAACAGTGGTTGCTTTTTCGACTTGTGCTCTTCTTGCTTAGTATGTTAATTTAAGTGGACGGTTACATCTTGGTAAGTTTGCAAATGGCCAGTTGTTCATATTTTGGTCGTATTAAGGGGTTTTGATGGAAAAGGGTACCTCCACACTTTTCACTGATCCCCCTAAATACCGAAGGTATCAGGGTTGTAAACAGAAATAAAAAAACAGTCTAACAACTTTTCTCCACTTCACATTATCCATTCTGAACATGTGGATTTGTTTAAAACAAAAAAACAGAACAGGAAATAGAAGATTTATGATCTCTGCAGCAGTAAACCCCGCAGCTTTACCAGGTCACAAAAACAACTTTTAATAAACAAGACGCATAAAAACACCTCCATCCAAAACACCTACATAAATTACATGCTCTCCTTTATGGAGCCTTGCACTGTGTTTTGGATGCACATCAATGCCAAAGAGACGCAGTGCCACACACTTACTTAATGAATCATTTACCTCCGATTCCTAATTTCCCTTGACGCAAATGAAACCAATCATTCTACCTCCTCATGTTGCCTGATCTCAATTACCTTCTCACCTCCGTTAACCTCTGCATCCCAAACTCCCCTGACCCCTGTGTCTCACCTCCCACCCCCTGCTCTCAATCCTCCATTTTACTACCCAGCAGGCATAGCACTCGGCACCCTGCAATCCTGTGATCTGACCCCCGCGACCCCCTTAGACAGGCAAGGGAAACAAGGGGACAATGGCATTTGTTTTTAAGGCTACACACTTAAGAGGGTTTCACTTGAAGATATAACGACAACTTATTCCTTCTGTGATCTCATGCATTCAAAAACCTTTATCACCAAATATT